CTTTACTGCTGATTCTATTAGGTTTGTCAAAAGTATTGAAAATCTGATACTAATCGGTACTAAAACTAATACTGAAACTAGATACTCATCTGAGCAAGTATCAATACTAAAAATATTAGTACTAAATTTGAGCTTTCCTGCAGTTTTAGTATGCGTTTGAGTTTTATCAGAGCTAGTTTAAGACCTCATGGTAACAAAGAAAGTACTATTATTTTATGTTGAAAATTACATTCTATCACCAAAAAAGTAGCATTTTTTATCTTCATTGTGGTATCATAATATTGTTTATTGAGCCAAATTGACTTCTCTTGACCTCTATTTCAGATCATGGAGTTAGAGTAAGTTGCAGTATATCCAATGGATGATTCAGTACAACTTCCTCATTGATGGAAGAATTTGAGGAAAGAGTGTCTAGGATTTGGTCACAGAATAAGAATTAAAAGTAGAAGAATACATGACCCAGTATATGACCCCGGGACAGTGAACTGAAACTGACAGAACAAAAGCAGGGTAGTAATATAACAAAATATGTGGACAAATGGAGCACTCACCAGTCCTAATCATTACATACTTATGTCAGTATCTCAGCTTCCAGATGCATCTAAAGTTGAGATTTCAGCATTTCTTTTGAGCATACAACATCGGCTGGATTCATTTCCATACAGACAAAATGTGTATATAAATTGAACTGAAATCTGTATTAGCAGACTCTCCATTAGAGAGTATCTGCGCAGATTCTGGATTAATCACTGACTAATCACATTAGCTACAGGCAATGCTGATGGAACCCCAGTTATTTTCATGTTGCCAAAAAATCTTTCTCCTGCAGTTGTTTTACTCACAAACTCAGAGCTATAACTCACTGTATGCACACACAAATTACATTTTTGTACTTTCTCATTGAAATAATACTGTATTCATACCTTGCAGGTGATGTCATTAACATTGTTTGGGGGTGTGATGCTAAATGTAGGCACTGCATGATCTGGAGTTAGACTTTAAAGGTCCTATATTATGCAAAATGGACTCGTGAGCTTTAAGCCATGTTATAATATTGTTACCTCATCAAAACAGACCTGGAGTTGTGTTTTGTTTCATTCACACATGTTTTGAGTAACCCTTTATTATTACTCCAAAGTTCATGTGTTATGCATGTGTGAATGAAAAAAAAACACAACTCCAGGTCTGTTTGTGATGAGGAAACAACATAGTGCAATATGAGCTTTAATTTCTCACAATTTAACCAGAAAGAGCTGTCATACTTGGAACTACAACAGATGCGCTGATTTTGATCTCAAAACTAAAACTGTATTTTAAAACTTGATTTTGGCATTGTGTCACCATAGTAACACTCTGCCATAGACATACATCCAGAACACCCCACAGCATGATGTCACTGCACAGTATCTTCATTTCATTTTTGCTCTTCTGTGTTTTACTGGAACATGTTTGTCTCTCATTTGATATTCTACTAAATTAAATCCAAATGTATGCCCTCTTTGTTTTGACTAAATTTTCGTCAAATTTCTACCCAATCTTTTCTCTTGCAGATCTACAGTGGACTGTGCAATGATCTGCTGCTTCATTGCATCACTTCCTTCATGTAAAACTTACGTTGTACTTAAGTCAAATTGAGCTTCTGCTGTTATCTACTTTTAGGCCTATCATGATAATTACTTTATTAACTTATCATTCAATATATGAAAACTGGAACAATACATTTTGGGGCTCAGTATTTATCATGAGTGCTTTTTCTTCGCAATAGTGGGAAATTTTTGGTTATATTTTGGCTATAAAATTTGACCCCTACAAGGTTGAATTTATAACTTCTATGACTCATAACAGATGCAAACTAAGTACTAAAGTCTTACATTATAATAATACCAATCCAGTATAATCAATTATGTAAATTAATTAATAAATTAAGAATTAATTAAACAATGTTCTGAAGGTTTGTAAATTCTTGTACCATATCACTGACCCATATCTGAAATAACAGCACTATTCAACAAAGCAAATTGTGGTTTATAAATATTTATTGACCAAGTGAAACAGAAGCATTTAGATATGAAATGTATAAATGACTATGGGCTACTCTAGATTGGTGTTTAAAGATTGGAGATTAGGTAAACCTTAAGAGTTATCTAAGGTTATGTGTAGAATTTAAATTGCTTAATTAAACCATTCTATGATGTATGCACATACAACCAGGGAGAGCGAAGATGTTAGTCCCAGTGTGGTCCAAAGGTCCAATGGTTTGGAGGTCTGAAGTCCTCAGGGTGTCAGGTCTGAAGAATCAAACGAGCTGAGATGGACAGAGGCCAGGTGATCTAAACAATAACTCTAGGCATAGGAAGCGACAGTCTGAAGGAACGCTGTATCCTCTGTTTAAAGAAGAGCAGAAGACACTTTCCCAGTGTCCATGAGGTCTAGTATCCATGAGGTCTGAAGTCAAACTCCTTAACTGAAAAAAAAAAAAACTGACAATATTCACAGCATGAACAGAAAGTCATTAACTTAGATTGTTTGATAAAACAGCATTGTCTTTTATTTTTGTCTTGGTTATGGTTAGTTTATCTATATTTACTTCAGTCAGTTGGTTTCATTGCAGGGTAAACTTTATAAATCTTTTTATAAGCTCTTTTGGAGAATCTTGGTGGAAGAGAAGTTAGATTGTCTCTGCTGTAGAACACAAGTCTCTATCAGTCATAATTTAAGTGACAGCTCCAGGGTCTAGTTAGTGCTGAAGTGAAGCAGGGGATGGTTGTGCATCCACAGTCAAAGGAGGCATTATTTAACCCAATCTACCTGGTTTGGTGAAAATGTACTTCTTTATGTTCTGATAAAGTGGCAACAGCGAAGTGGGTGCCTCTCACAGTTTCATGGGTCAACCTGTAATACTACATTATTTTCAATATTATGATTTATCATCTATATTTACTTCAGAAATATATTGCACTTCAAATTGTGTTATTGTGAAGGACCTTTCTACTGATATAAACTATGAACAGAGCAAAGAAAACAAACATGTTGCTTGTATCTAAGTAAAGAGTATTTGAGTTGTGTGAATGATGACCCAGAGTGTTCCTATAGGGGGATCAGATGTACATGAATAGACTGGATGTATGCGCAGTGAGTGGGTGTAGGATGACTTCACCGTGTTTACCACAAGGTTTAAGGAAGTTTGGATTTGACCTCTCAAGTCCTGATGTCCACTACTCCACTCTTTCTCTGTCATTAAATTTGGACAGAATTTTAACTACTTCAACAAAAACTACTTGGGTTAGATATGTAGATATGATGCTTTTTTCTGATTTATGTTATAATGTGGTTTTCACATCACAAACAGATCTGGAGTTTTTTTCCCAAATTGAAAAACCTCTGTTCCTCGTTATAATGTCATGTAGTAAACTCCATACACCATCATGAGAGTCATTTGGGTAATTTCAACTCTGGAACTGCCAATCTCTGTTTAATTAAAGGTAAAAGGTAGCTGTTCAGTTGAAAACTATGGCTTTATAAATAACATCATAGGGTGAAACAGAGAATGTTTTTGAGGAGGTAACAACATTCATAATTTAAATTTCACAAGAGTGAATTTTGTGCAATATAAGACTTTTAACATCTTTATAGCAGGCATTGAGCAGAGTGGCAGGTGAGCTGCTTGTTGACGCATGCACGTTGTTGATAGTTGATTCTGGAGATATGAACAGGACCTGCACGTCTGAGGATGTCTTCAGTGTGGGACACAGACAGATCCTGGTGCACTCTAGACAGCTGACCTTAAATTTGGCTTTGGACTGCAAATGGGACATTAATAGAAGCCAGCTGTAATTTGGGAACTGCTCCAATACAAACACACACACACACACACACACACACACGGTTGTTGGGTTTCCCTGTTTCTTGGGAACATTATGTTAACTTGACACTCAATCCCTAAAGACTGATCTAAGCCTTAACCATAGTCACTATTGTTGTCCAGCCTTAACGTAAACCCTAATCTTAACCTTAAACTGTTTCACCCATGAACTCACCCATGAACTTTAAATCATGACATGGGGGCCTGACTTTTTGTGCCATAAAGGAGGGCAGGTGCCCATGTTGTGATGGTGTGTACAGATTTTGGTTCCCATAAGGAAGGTACACAAGTAGACAATGACTGTAAGAAATGCTTTTTATATAATAGTATAATTCATATTGTTTTGTGATTTATTCAAGTAAATTAATTGGTTCATTTGTAAAGTTAAAGGTAAGTCAAAATTTCAGCTACTCTACAATTTTTCTCACAGAAGTAAATCCTTGCATTGCTGTAACCTGTGTAAGAAATTATGAACAAATTAAGTCAACCAAAAAAAAAAGTCCATAATTTTAGTGACTATATTTTGTTTTAGTCAGCACAAATATGGCCTTGATGAACAGTATGACAAAATTAGTACTGCTTCTTAGTACCAAACATAGTCAAATACAATATGATTAATAATAGTTAAAAGTACAGTTCACAGTACCATTTTATCAACATCATTCTTACAAATGGCTCTCTCAGAGACAGCACTCTGTATAGTCAATTCTGTTTCATTTAGTCCTAACACAGTCCCTATAAAAAGTATCAACTGAAACATGAGAAGCCACAGAAATTATTTGTAAATGTAGTCTGATCCCATCTTTATACCAGTGATAATCATCTGCCACGTTTGACCAGATAAAGTGTCCGAAATCTGGTCAGTAGAGGGTGCCTTCCATTATTTTGCGGTAAACCTGAGAGATTAACGTGTTTATACTAATCATTAATCCCATCTTAAATGTGTCTTGCCAGTGCCCTCTGCCTCCTGAGACCCTAATGCAATCCAGGAGAAGATCCCTTGGTGAACTCTGTCGTCAGTGAAGGGTGTGTGTGAGACTTGAATGCCAGGAGAGCTTTGGATATCAGCTGAGAGAGGGTCCCAAATAAAAGGAATAAGGACCCCCTAAACCCCCCAGTCTGGAAGCAGCACAGGGAAGACACAGGAATAACCATGCCCGAGCCCGTCCCAGCAGGTATGCAGATCACTTTATGTGCAGGAATAATTCATTGTAATTAGTCTGGGGACTGCTTTGAGGAGGGTAGGATTTGGGTTTTTACCAGAGAATATGTTTGCTCTATAGATAAGAATTACTGGGGATGTTCTTTTGTCTTTCCTCCCAAATTTATTTTCCAGTATATCTTTGTTTTTGTAGAAAGGTGCAGCTGCTAATGGTAAAATATGTTTAAGAAAGATAGACCGATTGTGGTCATACCATACAGATGTCTTGTAAACTTATAAACTTTTTGATAATCTACCAGTCACGAGCTTTGATTTGATGTGATTTTTCAGTGTTGACAATGGCATAATGACAGTAGCAAATATCTATACAAAGTACGTACGTGTAAAATGTTATAAAATCCAATACCACACATGTCAAAAGTGATTCACAGTCCAGAGTCTTAAACACTGATGATCTTTAAAGAGGAGGCATTCAGTCTTTTGTCTCCTATTTGGCTATAAACAATATGAGTGGCCTAAAATATTCTCTTGGCCAGCTGTTGTGACATCATTGGGGTCAGTAGTACCAGATTCATAAAAATACTCTGCCAGGAGAGGGGCAAATCTGCGCTATGTGAAGATACTTCCTAAGGTTTCAGACTGCAGCTGACTGAGGTTTTCTCCAGGTGAAATGCAGGGGGTCCAGGAAAACAAAACAAGTCCAACTATTTATTATAATTAACCTGAGTTCAGATCAAATATCCAGTTAATTAACCAGCAGTTCAAGAACCACAGGTGAATTATGATGTCTATGTATGTGCTACATTAGTAGAGAAAATTTTAATAATTATAAAATGATCATAAAATTATAATAAATAATCAAGTCTAAAAATAATAATTATGATTATAATAAGAATATGTTATTCCTAAAAAGAGGAAGACCTTTTTGCTGCACCCCTCCTTTACTGATCCTTTGACCCTGCCCTTTAACTCATTGCCAAGTCAGACACTTAACCCACGATGATTATTTTAGTGATATACAGTGTCACGACTGCCTCGCGTTTTTCACCTTCTACACCTACATGGTACAGGTTTTACCATAGTAGTTTTAGTTAATAAAGAAACTTCATTGGCTAAAGACATGCCCAGCGCAGCAATTAACAATGATAATTAAAGTTGCTTTGTTCTTCGTTATTCATTATTATTTAGTCATTCTATGCACTGTGGTGTTAAGATGCTATTGTAGCCACAGCTGCCCTGGGGTAGACAGATAGAAGCATGGCTGCCAATCTGAGCCTTCCACCCCTCCAAGGGCACCTCATTCTCAGCCACCCTGCTTGACAAGATTGCAGTTAATAAACAAAAAGGGGGCGTTGTGTGTTTCTGGAAAATGCTCAGAAGCATCTCTGGGTTCTGACCTTCTGATCCAAACTGCTCCCACAAATGCAATAACACCAATGTATTAGGCAGATTAACCTGTCCATCTGTTTACTTCTTATTTCATGATGATTCCATAAAAAAAAAGTTGACTAATTTTTAAAAAATGGCTCACTTAGATTCTTTCCACCCTACTAATTCACCCTACTAATTTGACAAACCTAACCCAAACCGTATTACTTTAAACCTGATGGCATGTACAATGGCATTAGTTTAATTCCATGTGTGCTGTGCAGATTTAGAGATTACACTAGGTATGTATGTAAGTGAAGCCAGTGCAAAGCCGATAGTAATGGGGTCAGCCTGGGAACTGTGGCACGGAGGCTTACTGGCGTCATCACTTCGGGTGTCTCAGGGCTTTTCAGGCTGCAGTCCTCCCCTCACCCTTTAGTAGAAACAATCGAAGAACAAACAAAAAAAAAATCTATGGCCTCCTATATAAAATACCAATAGAAAAAGATGTATGGTATTGCACCTGCTAAAGGTTGTGGTTATTGTTAAACATGATATACAGTACTGGAATAATCCATAAATTCCACAGTAACTTACTATCTATAACTATTTGTTTAGAAACAAGTTTTTGAAAGTATTTCTTAAAAAAAAAAAAAAAAAAAAAAAAAAAACAATAAGCACAGTCCTTTAATTTCTTTATTTTGTATCATCAAATATCAAAATAACTATTCAAAGCAATATGCAATCTATATCTATGAGGATATATACTTTTTCATATTTGAAAAAATATATATTCTACTGCAAAACTAATAATAATTAGTTAAAAAGTTTTTACCACTATGGTTAAGCTTGTGAACATAGAAACAGCTAAATATACTCCATCCAGATCTTTCTTCCTGTTAAGCTCATAGAGTTTGACCCTCCCGTGTGTATCAGGTTGTGCTGTAAAATAAATCATTATGTAATGTCTCAGTGAAGTTTGCCGGTGTGCTCCTCTCTCTGCTGAATGGCAGCCATGACAGTGGCTAGATGAAGGGATAGTATGATTCATCCTCGTAATTCATTTCATCATGATGACTCTATGAAACACTATAAGGCAGCACCAAGGGCCTGTCCCTAAATCAATACAAAATGGCTGTCACTTGATCACTGGCCAACACATGTGTATTTATGTTGTATGCACAAATTGTGAGGGTTAGACACAAGACTGTAAATCACATTTGAGTGGAATACTGGGAACATAAATTCATGTAAAACTTGTATGTTTGTATGTATAATATTTTGATACTTGATACATATGGGTGCATTTCCATCAGTCATATAGGTTTCCATCTCTGAAAACATCAGTGACTTATGTGATAGGTGTCGCATTTTAAGAGCAGGAAAGATGGGGTGTCGGAGCAAAGGTATAATCAGGTCACGTCACCTAACCGCACTCTTTATGTGCAACTGTCACCATGGTGATTGATGTTACCCCAAATGTAAACAAACATAATCTAAATAAAGGGTCAGGTCAGGACATGGTCTGCTTAAACAGATAATATGGAACACTGAGGAATAATTTAAGTAAGGGGTCTGCATATAGAAAAGAGTATCTTCTATAGTCTATTCATTTTGGTTACAGAGTTTTGTTCAAACACAAGGCAAGTAAAGAAGATCACAACACCTTTAGTGTATGTCATACATTCATACACACATACATACATACATACATACATACATACATACATACATACATACGTACATAAATATGTGTAGTCTGGGCCTCAGTCTTATCTTTCACAGTTCCACCAATCAGAAAAACAAATGGACCATCTGTATGAAAACAAACCTGGCAATTCATGATCATCAGTCTATTGGCAAAGCACTGAATTACACTTTTAATCTGATATTTTGTCCTCATGAATAGAAAATCACTGTGCTCTTTTGTTTCCCATGTGTTACTGAAAGTACAAACCTGATCTCGCTGTCTGAGTTTGGCCTGAAGATTGAGGAGAGAGTGGTGACCAGACTGAGACTGAAACCTCCAGTCTGTTTTGTCAGGCTATCTATACATCCCATTAGGAATTTATAATTTGCACATATTTATTTATGCATATAATCAAATTTCAACATTTATGGTAAATCTTAAGTGCATGTTATCAGGGACCAAGGTCAAGACGGTGTGCCTATTCAAAGACACAGTGTTCAGCTCGGGAGAATGTGGCTCGCCTTCAGGGGAGACATCAGATATGGCCCTTGGCCTTTACCATCCACTGCACTGACCCCAGAGGAACCATATACTGCTCTATTCCGCTTCACTTCAACCACTTTTAGTCTGCAACAATTAGACCAGTGCTCCACTCTCCTGGGTAAATACAAGAGATGAGATACATCTCTTCATTCCCAGTTAACTCAACTAAGGCCTGTCTGTCTAGTTGGAATAACTTGTTTAGGAGTAGCACACATAATGTAAGACAAGCCTTACAAAATATCATTTAATACCTCTAGCCATGTGAATCGATGCTAAAATAAGAAATACTAAATGCTCCGACTCTCATAGAATCTCTCCTTTGACTTGTTCAGATTAATTCATCAAAATAGAGTAAAGATGAATGACATCTCTAATAGTCTGTGTGTTGTTTGTGTTTGCAGATAAACCGGAGGGGGGTGGTAAGTGAACTGCACCACCACCTTTGACCTTTTGGTCTCCCTTACACAAGCATTCAGTCACTTGACAACTGCTCTCACATTTTCACTTTTGCATCAAATATTGGGTCAGGTGTCTGCAAAGAGATCCTTTTAATTTTTAAGCATAGTGAATATTTCAAATTTCAGTGACAAGCTACAAAGTACTTTTTAGGGCTGCAGATTGATTAAATAAAAATTAACTAATAGGATCCATTCACTATTTCATTTTAGCCACAGAAGACATTTACTGATGGTTATGGAACATCTGACTAATCATTTTTGTTACAAAATAATGGATGAGCTTTGATTTGAAAGAAACATACCTTCATTTTATGCAGAATACTTAGTGGTTATACTTTATTAGCATGCTAATTCCCATCCCCTGTTCTCAGATGCACCCCCTGCAGATGGAGGTAAGGTACATTATGCTCTGTTGCTCCATGCATTTAACCAAATCTACCTAATGTATTCACGGATCTGAGTGTATACATGCACCACACTGTGTGCAAGGGAAGGAACGGCATGACTCATTTCAAGGCCCTTGTAATATTTAGAGCCTAGTGAACAATGGTGCAGCCTATGAAGGACTGTAACAGTGCACGAAATGTACAAAGGAGTTTTATATCAGTGTTTCTCTCTTGTTAGGACCAGGGGATGCTGGCAAAGATGTCATTTCATATTATCTCCACTATTCCTGTTTTTATTACATGTTCTAGCATGATCACATGCTCATAGAAAACAGTGGACTGGGATATGGCACTACAGCTCTGTAAAAGCCTCAAACAGGTGAAAAGTACTTTGAATACATATATTCAAGTTATATACATATTTCTCCTAAGTCTAAGGTGAGGTTTGCTCTCAAGTAGCAGTATGTATTGGATTAAAACATTAAAGATTGCATGAACTGTTTAATTGTCCATGTACAATTTAAATGTCTCACAAAAATAAATAGTAAATGTACTTATTTTGTTAAATTACTGATAGCCTGTGATAAATACTCACTGGCTTTATGTCATTCTCTTGTAAATCTGTGAGCTCCAGTGCCACATCCTTGACCTTGTTCTTCTACGGCTTGAACGTTGCATCTGTAAGTCTTGTTTTGTGCATTTGCTTCATTGCTGCATTTATCATAATTTGCTTCCCTGTCCATACAACAGATTCAGAAGATGGAGGTGGTAAGAAAAAAGATGTTTATATATTTTACATATCATTTGACTGTTTACTTTTGTTCCTCAAAAGTACATACGATGGGTGCTTGTAACATGTGTTTATGTTATGTGCAAGCTGAAATGTCACATTAAATGTATATAAAGGAGGAGAAATCACTTTGAAAGCTTCTTTTGAAATCAGATATTTTGCCTATAAAACACCTTTTAAAATATTTGGCTGGCAATGTTTGATGGTTTGTTTTCAACATTGTCATCCCATATAAAAGGTGCTATATGAATAGTAATGCTGTTTAAGCAGAGGCCATAACAGAAATCCCTCCAAGAGTTTGCGATGTCTTGGCAGGAAAACATAGCTTGGCCTTGGATGTGCTGTATATTCATCTGCTCTATCCTTGTCCCTGTCACCTGTTGTGTCACATTAATTTTTTTTTTTTTGTAACAAATGTTTTTTATATTTTGTTTTCTCGTTTAAACATTTTTGTGCCCAATCTGTGTTTTTATGATACCAGCATTTTTATATTTTATTTACTCTGATGCTTTAAACAAAGACAGCCAAACACAGCTGGAGTTGGTGTGTTAGTGCTCTTGAGACAATGGCAGCAGCTGCTCAACATACCAAGGGTCATATGACTCGCTGACACTTTTATAGAGGCTCCTCAAGTGAAGCACTGCTGGAAAGGAAACTGTAGTGCTGCCCAAGCAGTCCAGGCATCAAGAAGTGCTGTATTTTTGTTAATCCTTTGTCAGTGGTCCAAGAATGGATAGGATATGCTATGTTGCAATGTGTGACACTTCTTAGTGCGTCACATTTTGGTATAAATGAGGTGAAGGTGTGAGGATCTGAGTGTTGATTTCTTCTTCTATCCTCTCAGATGATTGTGTCTTTGGTGCTGTGCTCTCCTGACATCAGTGTGACATCAGTGTGACTGGATGTGGAGCCAGCAGTGAAATATGGCTCACTCTCAGTGACCGATCATAGGGTCAGTAAAGTCATCAAAGGTGGCCTATTCATCTGGACTCTTAAGTGCACTCTCCTGGACTCAAATGATCCATTGTGTAGGTTTTATGCCCAGAAAGAAATGTTCTTTTTGTATACACATTCAAAAGTGATGATTATCTAAGGCAGGCTGCCATGGTGGTGTAAGTCCCAAATGGCACAGTCCAATATTTTTGTGCTTCTGAAAACTCAACTAAATATAATCAATCTTTATCGGACTATCCAAAACCCCTCAGAAACAGCAGTACCAAACAGGCTTCTTTAGTCTGACATGCAGCTCCTACAGCTCAATTTAGGTAATCTCTTACTCCTGCTACAGCTACACAGTATGTAAAAGTGGGGCCTGGTGCCTATGAAATCTGTCTGCATATTCAGCAGTAAACATGGCTGGCTTGCACCTGTATCTCTGAGTGAGTTGGAAAATCTCTTTTGCAGCTTTACCTTTTGAACCGCTAAGAATCCTGTGCATCATGTGAAGGCCTCCCCTCTTATCTCAGTCTGATCCCTTCACTGTGAAGTGGGTATTCCAGCTCCGAGTTTCCTGTCTGCGTGTCTGTCGGAGTTGAGTTCTATGTGGGAAGTGCTTATCATACCAAGGCTGTTTCTACCCACAGGGGTATAAAGTGTGCGTGGGGATTATCGTCACTTGGCCAAACAGAGCCTGTTCTGGGCCACTTGCGCCAATAATGCAAATGGAAATTAGTGAGAGGTTACTGCCAGTTTTTAAAAACATAAATATTTGAAGGCTTTTAAAATCATACTGACTGTCTGAAGAAGTTAGTGTGAAGTCTGCAAGACCTGCTTTAAAGTTGCTGCATTAGTGAATGGAAGTATGCAGAGATAACCCACTGACTCTGGGGCAAATGATTGTTTTTACACATTAATAATAAAAATATATGTGTAAACATATTTCTTTCAAGTCTCACTTCAATGGTTTGCTTGGACAGCCTGGGGTAGAGACTCACAGCATGGGGCTAAGTCATTGCTTCAACTCTGCAAACATCCTCCAAAAGAAGCACTCAAAGTGATTTAAAACAATTCAGCTCCCGTTGGTGGCATAATCGTTTCATTTGATTACGTCCATAACAGTCATGGTCTGACTCCATGTATGTGAAACAGGTCTGTGTTGATTGCATTTCACTGTGTCACATTAATGCAATAATTCCTTAGAATAAGCTGAGCGTTCACACTGACTTATGGTACAGTATAACCACACTGGTTATACTTCCATACGTTCACCACAGCTGCCTGTTTTTGTCCCTGGAGGGAAGCGAGTGCTGTGGAGGGAGCAGGCGCGTCAGTGCAGGACTATGATCACCTCGTGCATGGAAATGTGCTGTTATGAAATGCAGATGGAAGCCTCTGTGCATACATCTGCATATGTGTTCTCATGTGGCATATTTATGGCTCACTTCTAATGGGATAGAGAGCACAGGGAATAGATCCACACCTTGCACACTGAAGGCTTGATAGGGCTAGAAAGTGCTGATACACAGCCATCAACAGATGCAGCCTTGTTAAAAGTGGTATACTTAGTACAGTTCATTAGAGCGATTATGTATCCAATGAACTTTGTTAAAGGCCAAAAGAGATTCTCACTGTCCACATGGCACTGTCTATGTTTATTTCAAGTATTTGATAATTATTGGAAAGCTATAGTGTCACATAATGTGCACATTCAAAGGCTAATATTTTAAAATCATGAAAACTGAGATATATCATCATTGTGTCTGTGATGCATGTATCTTATGGATTATAAATGTAACATCTACATGTTGTGAGTTTGCATAAACCTTATTTACATGTACACTATGGGTGTGTTTCATGTCTGTGTCTATCTCTGCACTTTGGGTAATCATCATATATATTGATATATGACATGCTTGTACCCATTGGACATGTGCCTGACCTGACAGCGCTTGTTTGAATGAAAACATTACTGATATATTTTTCTTTTCAGAGGGAGGAAGCACTGAGCTGACTGGGCTCTTTGTGGAGAAACCCCCGGACAATGTAGTTGCAGTAGCAGGTCTGTTTGTTTCTTCATAAAAATATAAAGTCACATTTTATGGGTTCATTTGAATGAAGTTGTTTCTCTCACCCTGGTGTTTGTGAATGCAGGACGTGACATGACCTTCATAGCCAAGGTTGACTCATCTGCCCTTACAAGGAAGCCCGTCATGAAGTGGCTGAAGGGCAAATGGATGGATCTTGGCAGCAAGGCTGGAAAACACATGAAGTTCAAAGAAAGTTATGACAGAAATACCAAGGTGGGGGTGTGACATTCATTTCATACATACATGATTTAGTCCCCTAAGGAAACCATCTTTTACTTGTATATTCTCCAGATTT